CCCTTATTGAAGCTGGCATTTCAGGTAAACCACTTTTTAAAGAATCTCCTGAGAAGCAGCTGCTTCTAACTGACAGTTATGAAGGCAGTTGTAACAGCCGAGTGATGTAAGGTACCATAGGTGTGTACAGGGATTGTTATGCAGAGACTTCAGGAAGAAATATTCGTGGTAAAATATTACCAGATTCTTTGATAACTGATTTTCCATTCAGTAATTCCTTTTTTTTTCCCAGTGCAGTATAAAACATTTGAATCTGGTTGGCAGTGGTGTTCTGTGTGTCAAGTTTGCATGCTTGCAAACCACTAAGCCACAACGTATTGTTTTCCCAGCTATTTAATTTCCAAAGAAGTATTTTTGTGCTCCAGAGCTGTACCACATTCTTGCAGAAGCTCTCTTTCAATATTGACCAAGTTCTTTTATTGAAATCTCTTTTAAAACTCCCCTTTTCTTTTTGTGGTGCCTGTGACAGTTATGTTCAAGGCAGACTGCAGTCTCAGCTGACCAGTATATGCCGATAGGCTTGAGCCTAAAGGGCCTGAGTTCACTGAGCTTTGGATCCTGACATGTGTGACAAGTGTTGGATAAGCAGTTGTAATGTGGGTGTTGGTAGAATTCAGCATAGCTTCACACACAATTTTTTTAAGAGCTGGGGTGGTAGAAGGCTTCTTGAAGCCATTTCTCTGTCTTGAATTCCTAGCTCAATTTCAGTCTTTCCATTAAAATGTCCTTATTTGTGTTTGTCTGTGTCACAGGTTCTATAGATCTGACTTCAGACTCTGCTGATGGTCTGAGCCCATCCAGAAAGAGGATCAGAACAGTCTGTAAATGTGGAGCTGTGTGTTGCAGAGGTTATCTCAACTGAGTTTGAGTATCCAAAGTCACAAATACTTTGTTCTCTTTTCAGAGAGTTTTAAGGAGACTCTTCTTTCATACATACATTATTCTTACAGCTTATGTAAACAGATACAACGAAAACAAGATGTTATGTTTGTAATTGAAATGGCATTGGCCAAAGAAAGAGATCTAGTGTTTCAGGTTGAAACTGATAATGTGGATTAAAATTTAATTTTTCTATCATCGTTATTTGGGAAGCAGTAAACTATATGGTAAGAAAACTCTCTAACATGTACCTTGATTTGAATATTAAATGTAAGCTCACAGCGGTAGGCCTTTTAGGAGCTGATTTCAGTGAGATAAAGTGGTGTTGCATATTTTCTGTACCTTGCAAAGAAGGTATTAGAAGGCATTCAATTTGAGTCCTAAATCATAGCAGACAGTTCCTTTTCTTTTTTTTTCTTTCTTTTTTTTTTTTTTTTGTGCTGGTGTGTAAAAGGAAGGCTGAGAGAGTCAGAAAGAGAGAGTAGCAATAACATCTGTGGCACCACGATGAGAGGCATCGGAGCACGACTGGAAGGTGCCTCAGAGGGGTGCAAACTGGAAGAGCTCCATTGAATTCCACACAGTAAAATCGTTGGTGTTCGTTGAGTCTGGGGGTCTTAAACATCTTCACCTGATGTCATGTTGTTTAGAAGCTTTATGAACAGCATTTCTTAAATCGTTACGTTCTGACTTTTAGTTCAGATTCTGTAGGAGGTCTTCTTTTCTGCACAGAATTTGTAAATATTGGGTTATTATTGGTAACACACACTGTTTTGTTTTCATTGCAGAAATTTGGCAGTCATTGCTGAAAAAAAAAAAATACTGGCTACAGTTTGGGAATAGAAAACAAAGTAATTTAAGGAAAGCAGCCTATTGCCCATCAACACTGATGCATTCTGCAGATATAGTTAGTTATCTGTTAGGTGTAGAAATAGCCTGGGAATTGATTTGTATTAACAGTTGTTTTTGCTTAAGTTTTTACATACTGTGACTTTATTTTTTTTTTTTAATCTAGTGACAGATTTTTAAGATATTAGCCCTATTTTTCTCGTGTTGCAAAAATATTAACTTCAGTGAAGTTAGGCTAGGGTTGAGCTACCCATTTGCTGTAGTCATTTGTAACATGTTCTTGAATGTAAAGGCTGAGAAGAATACTGTTCTTCAGCTGCTTGAATCATTTTATTATTATTACCTTAAAGTTGTTTTGATCTGTTGGTAATATGTGCTACGTTTTGCTTGGCTTCAAAGACACTGAAGAGCACTTGAGTTTGGTTATGAGTGGAGTTACAGCCAAGGTCCATGCTCTGGGGATATTTGAAGGGCTTTATTCTCATGGATAAAAAAGCTTGTAAAACTTGCATGTTGCTTACAAATACTTGCTTACAAAATGTTGACAGTCAGGCAGAATGTTGTTGCTCCCTAAATGGATGCTAGCTATGTATCATAGGTCAGCTAGTTGCCTTCATAAGGTGCACAGCTGTTGTCTCAGGTGAATGAAGTCAAGTACCCAGCATGTATCAGTTTCCTTAATTTGTTAGCAAATGCCTTAAACTTCACCCTAGTTCCCAGCACTCCAAGAAGAGTGTTTCAGAGGATAACACAGGTTGTCTGCTGACTAAGAAGCACCGTTGCATTGGCACTGAACATCTGGCTCTTTGGCAGGAAGTGTCATTTTTTTTATGCTGGGAGACACTGAAATCAGTTTCACGGTTGGAGCAAAGAGCGTGGGCCACTGCAAGTCCTGTCTGAGTTTTGTAATCTACAACACAAAGAGATACGTGTGAAATTATTGTTTTACATGAGCAGGAGGAAACTTGCTTATGTTTAAAAGTATTTGACATTAACAGGCTCAGCTGTATCCACACACTTGGATAAATGCTCAATCTAATCAATTTATAAAATGCCACTTCTCCAGCAGTTTTTAATTTATTGATGTGGAATGTTGGAGCTTTAACAAACTCTAGATTATCTGCTGTCATTTGGAGTTGTTTGCTTTCTCTTGCATGTAGCCCAGTTTAGAAACGCATTCCACACGGATGGAATCTGCGACCTCCAGCTCCTGAATCTGCTGCAGTCTGCAGCCATTCCTCGGCACAGGAGTGCAAGAGTTCTGCAGCAAGACATAGATTCCTTACCACATTGGTTTCTCTGGCCTCTGCTGTGCAAGTTGACAGAATGGTTTACCACCCTCTTTGATTTAAAAATCACCAATAAATACACGTTCAAAGAGAAAAGTCTTACCAGTTGTACTTGAGTTCCGTGTCTGCCTTTTTCCCAAGGCAGTATCTGTTATCACCAGCATTGAAGTGACAAACACTGTTGTTCTATAAGGATATGTATGTTACCTCTTGTGTGTGAAATAAAGGACCTTTAATTTATGTTCTGGGAGGTAACAGTATTTTGTATTTATTTGAACTAAAATCACATATCCGGTTTCTAATTTAGAATACTGAACAGTGTTTATTCAGTGCATTTGCAGTTGGTAACTGAGCTTAACGGAATACTGCATCACTTTTAAAACTCCTTCTGCTGTTTCTGTGAGTTCAGGGGGGAAATTGCCAGATTGGAAAAGAAGAAAGGTGTTTTCCATTTCTTAAGGAGCCTAAACCAGCCTAGCTTCTGCCTTTGTTTTGCTTTGTGGTCTGTTGGCATCTTCACAGCCACCACTTCAGTGGTGTATGTGTACTTCTTAAGAGTCAGGTAACCTGTGCTCTGTCATCTGGCTTATTGTTTTTGTTGGGTTTATTTTTGGAGGTAGCAGAATAATGCTGCAAGATTATCTGTAAGATTGTCTATTTATTTAATCTCAAAGTTAAATCAAGTCAATCTTTGGGTTATTTCTAATGTATGTCTTAGGACTGTGTACTTTAGCATATGCAGTTTGTAAGCTCAGGAACATTTTCTTCTCATGATGTGTGATCTCTAGTATTGCTATCTTCCTACAGTTTTTGACAAAATAAATTAAATTTAGTTTTTTTTCTTGCTGTTGTCATTTTTGGGGAAGAAAACATCTTATGCTGTCAGCTGTAAGAGTGCAGTTTGTTGCTGTCCCATACACGAATGTTTTAGCACTGAGAGGACTGTAGTTGAGCAATCGTGAGGAAATCAAGTGTTTCCTATTCAGTTCATGGCAGATTGGAACTGCTATAATTAAGTGGGGCTCCCATCTACTGAAGCACACTGTAAACTCAGCCCTGATCTGAAATTTATCCTACAGTTAAGGAATCAAGCCAACAGACAGAATTCTGCTCTCTGTGACTCTATTCAAAGGTAGAAACGACAGCAGTGTGACTCATTTTAGCCTGCTTAAAAAAAAGTTGACAGATCTGGACTTTACACAAATCCCAGGAACAGAAAGTAGGCAAAGTGACAGTGGTAAAAACACATGGATTTGAATACAGTTCAAATCATACATAGATTATAGCCATTTTTTTCTCTGCAACTGCAGTAGCAGGATGCTGGTTTTTTAACATTTGCATTTCACTCCAGATACCAGAAAAACAGATGTTTGCAGTGTGGGGGAGCTGTCACACTGAAAGTCTTTTTAATTATTTAGGCTTTAAGCCTCGTGGATTGGGAAACTGAGGTTACTTCTGTTTGGGTCTTTTTTCCTAAAAGGATTGAAGCTCAACAAAAACCCAAAGCTGCAATGCCAAACCAAAACAAAGGAACTAACAAGTTGGTGGTTGTGTGTAAGATTTAAACCACAGGCACTGAGATACGTTATCTGCTCAGTTTAGAGATGAGTTTGATTTTACAAGAACACTGCTGTCATTGGTTCGTCTGTTCTTTAAAATAACCACAGTGAAAAGTTGGGGTTTCAGGAAGTGGAAGTGCAGCTCATTTCAGTGTTTGCATGGCCATTCAGGGAAGATGCCATATTCTTCCCCCATAGTTAAACATGTGGTATTGTATTAAAGTTTGAGATCATGTGTAGAAGGCAAACTCTTAGAGCTCCTGATGAAAGAAAACACTAAATTCAATTTAGTGTTCCACCTCCAGCTTAGTTTGGTCTATTTTCTATCTAGTTACAGCCTTGGAGAACCAAACCTTAGGAGGTAGAATGCTTTTATAGTCCTTTTCAGAAACACTTTCAATATTTCATGGAAAGAACAACAAAGTTATACAGACTGCAGAAGTCTATTTGTAATTGTAGTACAAAAATTGCATAGATTAGCATAAATGCAAATAACAGCAATAAAAGAACAGTTTCATATTTAAAGAACAAATTTCATTATTATCATGATATAATCAGTTCTACCTCTTTTCAGGAGACTTTTTTCTCATTAAGCTTTCACCTGCTGCTAGCTTCTTATATAAGTAGTGCAGTTTATCTTGTTGAGGTATTTCAGCATCTGGAGTTAAGGGAATTTCAAAGTCAGAGGAGCTCTGAGAATCCCTCTTCAGTTCTAGATCAGGAGTCCTGGAGCTGTCACTTATTTCCACCAGCAGATCTTGAGCTGGAGCAGTGCCAGCTTCTGCATCTTCGTCACAGTCCTCACTTTTCAAGTCACAGATGACGTCAGGAGCACAGGATGGATTCTGGCCAAGTGGTTTCCACCTGCTGTCGTCAGCTTGGCTGTCCTTGGGGGTTTCGTGAGATGGCAGAGCTGTTCTGCTGCCACATCTGCTGAAGCAGCTGAAGTCAGCAGCATTTCTCTCTTGGGAGGTAATGAGTACAGTGTCCATTTGGCTATCCCAGCCCTGGCTGCCTTGTTCTGATATGTGTGTCGACTGAGAAGAATTTTGGGAGGAGATGTGAGTTGAGTCACTCACTCCATCCGAATCACTGAAGAGTGACTGGGACCCACCAGCATCTGCTGAAGATGGGAAGTTGTCCTCATTTTCAGAGCTTTCATCTACTTTGTTACACTTAAAAAACATATCCCAGCGAGGGATATCAGCATTAGACTCCTGCTGCTTGCCAGGTATGCCATTGCAGCTTGCTATGGGACTGGCATCTGGCTCATGGGAAAGAACCTGAGCTGTGTTTTTTTCAGAATCATCTTCTTTGTCATCATCGTCGTCATCATCATTGGACTCCTCACAATCCACGAAGTCTACCTTGAGAGAGGTGTAAGTTGTGTTTGCTCTGTAGCTTTCTGTGCTCTCATCTGTGTTTCTGTCAGCATTTTCAGACGGTGCAGTTTTGGATGGCTTACTTCCTTCTCCCTGATATTTTGCAATCTTAGGCCTTGCAGAGGTTAGTTCTGTATCAAAGAGCTCATCTTCGTCTGACAAGGAAATTTAAAAACAAAACAAAGCAAACAAAAAAACCCAGAAAATTTTGTTGAGAGCGAAGTCTGGACACAAGATAATTTAATAAAGTTATTTAACTCAAAAGGAAGCTTAGCAGGACTTCAGTGAGCATGCTCACCTTGCCTAAAACCCTACAATCTACAGTAGTTAATTCTACCATTTTGGTTTCCATTACTCACAGTGTTACTGAATTCCATCAGAGCCTTCTTCATTGACTAGAGGCCTTAAGTTCTAGCATTCTGTTGGAACAGTGACTGCACTGGTAAAGGAGACTTCTCAAACAGTAACCCTCAGAGCCATTACTTGCCAAATCAGATACTTAAAAGGAGAAGAAATACATCAGCAAAAGGTACTGTTTAAAGGAAGTAGGCTGCATGTTATTAGCAAAGTTATTTCTGCTTGCTAGACATAAACACAAAAACCAGAACTCTTTATACTAGAATGAGGAAAAATTTAATCATAGAAATAAAGAGGTCTCTAGAGCTGTCAAACAACTATGAAATTCTTGTTGCTGAAGGAACTAATGTAATTTCTTTCATGTTTTGAACAAGGGCTGACTCAAACATAAAGCCAACAGTTCAACAGCTACAAGCTGGTAGGGCAGGTTCACCTCTGGCCTTCATGTGCATGGTGCAGATCACACACACTGCTAGTGGATACTGATCTAGATTTGTTTATCCAGACCGCAGTCATGTTTTGCCAGGATTACATCAACCTTGCACAGCTGGCACTTCAAAAACAGCTGAAAAGAATACAGCAGGCCCAAAGTCATCCTCTAGTTATGGGGGTTTCCAGAGGCTTCATGGAGCACCCACTGCTGTATATAGCAACCACCAGGGTTTCAAAAAGATACGAGGTGCTGAAAAGCCAGCTGTTCAGGATAATGAAGAGGACCAATTCTTCAGTGTGAAATACCACACTGTCCTTCCACAACACAGGATGTGATGCAGAGAAGTTTAAAACTAGCCTTATTAGTGATAGTCTAGGATCGTGGAACAGAATGCTAAAAACGTACAGGCTGTTAAGCACATTTTAGAACTGCAATTCAGTGCATTTTACTAGCACCCTCCTGAAACCTGATTTCATTTAATTTCCATTTATCTTTTCCAGCTGCACTTTTTTTCTTGCTTTGTACACAAACCAGTGAGCACTGTGGCTTTTGGCACCTCTAGTCTCTGACTTTCATTTAGGGACAGTACCACTGTCAGAACTTCTCACCTGTATCAGATAAGGTTCTTTTGCAGGCTCTCTTCAGTGTTCCTAAGGGCTTGTACCTGGGTTCTGAGTTTCTCCTGTATGATCTGCATAACGGCTGTAATCTGAGGTAAATGAAGAAATCAGTACTGAGAACTCAGCGGATATTTTCAGGCACAAAAGCAACTCTTTTGACATTCATGCCTTTCACAGGCACTGCAGCAGAAGTGTGAAAGCAAAGGCAGCAATAGGTGGGGGAAAGGTTGCCACTTTTGTGAGCTGAGACAGCTTAAAATGCTAGAAAAAAGATCTGACATTCTGACTTATTTACCTGAATGTATACAGCATTTGTAAACTACATTTTAGGCCCTTGGTTAGAGAAGATAAGATGACAGAGTTGAAAATCTGACTGCAGGTTTATTCAATTATTGCAAAGTATCTCCTTTCCTATTAGGGAAAAAACAAAAAGGAGCAAGACACAAGCCCTCATTTTGTTCACGTTGTTCAGTATCACTACTATTCTACTCCATAACACAACTAAGCTGCCACGACTTTTAACAGCATCTGACTACAGGCCTATGTGGTACTGTACATGGGTGCCTGCACAGAGACTGGGAGTTCAAAGTGCCCAAGGAAATTCCTTCTTAGAAACTTCTCAGAAAATAGTACTGACAAACAGAAACAGGTCAATAGGTAAAGAAAGTGGGATAAATGAATATTCAGATGCCACCCAGACACAGTTATCAAAAAAGCCTCCATACATAGACATAACTAAGAAAGAAGTTTAGAGAGTTGAATATAGATTAACAGAACTGCATTATCAGTAGAGCTAAGCAAAAGGCACTGGCCTGCTTGAAAGGCCGGGATTCAGGAAATTTGTGATCCTTACAAGGGCACAGATTAGGTAACCTTCACTCACAAGTCAGCTTACTGTCACTTACATTTCCATAACTTTGTCTTCTGACCCACCCACTGGTAGTACGTTGGGATACACATTCACAGGACAGATATAGCTCAAAAAATCCTTAATCTAAATTGAAGAGAAGGAGGAACAGTTTAAGAAGTTGCATCAACAGTTAATAATTCCACTTAAAAACTGCACAGACACAGTAAGTACTCTCCAGTTGTCTGATACAAAGAATGATATGACCCGTAAGTCAAACACTATGGAAGTGTAACAAGACAGGTCTGAAAGGATGCTAAGAATTCAGTCTCACCTAACCACCACACAGTATCACCAACTACACAGACAATCACCAGCTCTGAAAAAAAACATCTGATAAGCCAGTGATGATGACTCCAGCAAGTTCCCTGGGAACATGACTCAGTGCTTCACCATCCTCACTACTGCAGATCTTATCAGCCTTGCTTTCTTCCTACTGCACTTTGAGTCTTTACTTTTTGCAGATGAGAACATCCCTTTCAGTCAACTCAGTACTGCAATTATACAAACCTCACTGTATGAAGAGTGGAAAGAGAAACAAGCTCTGTATGTACTCTCTCCAGTCCTACAAAAAGAAAAATAAGAGGCACATAAATTAGCTGGTTTTCAAGCTCACCTAACAGGCAAGATTAATTTAATCCATAACAGTCCATTCTGAGATTCAGTTATATAAAACTTAGGCAAGACACACTCCTAAAATAGATTTCTGTATGGCCTAATGCTCATAGAATCACAGAATGGCCTGGGTTGAAAAGGACCACAATGCTCATCCAGTTCCAACCCCCTGCTGTGTGCAGGGTCACCAACCAGCAGACCAGGCTGCCCAGAGCCACATCCAGCCTGGCCTTCAATGCCTGCAGGGATGGGGCATCCACAGCATCCTTGGGCAACCTGTTCCAGTGCTTCATCACCATCTGTGTGAAAAACTTCCTCCTAATATCTAACCTAAACCTCCCCTGCCTCAGTTGAAAACCATTCCCCCTGTCCTATCACTGTCCACCCTCGTAAACAGCCATTCCCCTTCATGTTTACATGCTCCCTTCAAGTACTAAAAGGCCACAATGAGGTCTCCCCAAAGCCTGCTCTTTTCCAAGCTGAACAAGCCCAGTTCCCTCAACCTTTCTTTATAGGAATGCACACCTCACTATTACATTGGCTTTCTTGATCCTTTCTCCAAACCACATAGTGGAGGGTTTGATGCTAATTACATGCAAGGGAGTTCCATTTTGGCAAGTGATTCCACAGGGCAGTCTGTTCCCTCGAAAATAGTCATCATCCTGTCAAATACAAAATCAAATTAAGTCCAATCTTGATATTTTCCCAAGGAAATTAAGCCACACAGTATCTAGCCAAACCAAATTTTCACTTCCAGTTCTTTTGAATACCGACTCCTCTCTGTTGCATTCTGCTTTCAGAGCTGACAAAGCAAAATGAAGAGCAATGCCCCAGTGCCATCTACAGTTCTACTTGCCACTCTGAAGCCTTCAGCTTCAGACACGTTGGAAAGGGAGGGCCATGAATTAAAGCACACAATGCGTGGCTGCAGGAGGCATCATACAGCCTGGTTTTGATATATGAAAATGAACAGTACCTGACTGATTCAGTCTGCTGTTTGTCTAACTTCATTTAACTTCATAGTTTCAAAATGCAGTTCAACTATTTCTAGCATTAGCTATTATATTTTCTGATTAAAAGAAAAAAAAAAGCCTTAACCTGCTAAAATTCTCATTTTCTACTGCATCAAGCAACTATTTGGGCCAAGTTTGCTCTAGGATAGCAACAAAACATCTACAATCAGTTCTTCATAGCAAGGTTAGCAAAGGCTTTCCAAAATGATGCACACCTTAGGATGTCGACAGGCATGAATCTGAGTGTATCGGTCTGTAGTTATATGGCAGAGGATTTCTGGCATATTTTTGAACATATCAAGCCTATTCACGTGCACCTAAAAAAAAAGAAGGCAAAGTTTACTCTTAATTAGCTGGCTGTGTTTTGCCAAACTGCAGCTAGAGCACAGACATGGTTCTGCTCTCAACAAATGCCAGTAAGGAATTATTAACGGGTAATTTGTAAATACGCAAGTGGGGAAGTGTCTTGGATAGATGGAACAGGCAGAACGAACCTCCTGTGCTACAAAGGGCTGAGCACTGATCAGAGAAAAGTAGAATGCATCTGCTATTTATGTTGTGCAAATGAGAAGAATTTCACAAGGTGTAAAGGAGAGAGGTAAACGCTGAGCTGAAAAATGGGGATTAACTTCTCTCTTGAGAGTCTAGATGTTCCAGGAGATGTCACACTCTGAAACCAAATAGTTAGCTCACTTCTGAGCACAACTGTAGGCTTTTTTTAAGCACGGTGTGCACACCATTCACATACAGCAGTTCTCTGAACGGCCATTTCCAGTTCAGTTCACAGTTATTACGCAGCATCTGTTCTAAAACAGTTACCTTGATTCCAAGCTCCTCACTGAGGTTTATGAACAAATATTCATATCCATAAGCAGCTTTGCAATTGAGCCACACAACATGACAGCGACTGAGCGAGGTCCAGCTCCGCACTAACTCTAAGATCCCATTTAAACACTCCTCCTGAAAGGTGTAGAAAAGCACTGTGATTTGTCTCACAAGCTATCCATAAAGTGCTATGATTTGATAGGCAACATCACATTTTCAAGATTTAACTAAAACAAAAAAAGGCTCATTAACTTATTAGTGGCTTTAGGACCTTTCACAGCCTATTTAGACTTACCCTGCTTGGTATATGATAAAATCTAGGATCACAAAAAGTGGTGTCCAAATAAACACTCTGGATGTCTTTCACTCTGAAAGAGAAATGTGATATCAGAGTGAGCAGTGCATTGCAGCACTAAGATATACTACTTCCTCTCTCCTCAAAAAGGATGTGATTCTTCCTCTTCATTACAAAGAACAAGTCAAAAGAAGCTTGCAACTGAACTCCTTACTGCAAATATATTTAATAAATATATATATATATGAAATAATTCCCAAATTGCCCATGTTTGTATGACCTTTCATTCATTTTAAATCCCACAGATAGACTAAACTCACCAAGAACTGAATTAAAATGCTACTGTTTTTTCCTCATACCTGGTCCCTGAATGCAAAAGCTCCATTCTGGCTGCTTCTCCTTTTGCAAGCCTGAAATCCCCTGTATACAGCACAGTGCCATTTTCACCTTGAAACAGAAACCTACAAAGAGAAACACTTCCATCAAACTTAATAAACAGCATTAACTGTCATTTGTTACTTTGCTCACATATGTCTGTGTGAGCAGAATATGGCATAACAGAAACACGGGGCTCAATTTTGTCCTCCAGTAATTTCAGGCAAACCCTGATAATAATTCAGTCAGTGTGGGTGGGATAACCCAGCTATTCACTGCATCCACAAGCACACTATTTACTGAGAACTTTGTAGGACAAATCTCCCAGCAGAAACACTTAGAATATTGAATAGGACATACATGACTGATCCTGGACAGTGGCCAGCTGGCAGGAGTGTCACCTCTATATCTTCTTTCTGCAACAGAGGGGTTAGCATTATTTTCACACTGGAACGAATACTACTGGTACTTTTTCTGACAAAGTGCAAGCAACTCTCCACAGCCACCTGCATCACTTCACAGTGATTTTGGATGGAAAGACAATCTCTTCACATCCCAGCCAACCCTGGAGAACAACAACCATCCTCTCATGGCAGAAGAGATGACTGAACGTTGGTGCTGATGAGAGTCAGCCAGAAGACAGTCCTATTTCTTTGGTTCCTAGCAAACAAACATGGAAACATCCTGGGATATGCTTTGCCTGGAGATGATCTACCAGACCTACAAGTTCTACACTTAAATATGTGGTGAAAAGTCACGGAAACAGTGCATAAACTTGAGATCCCTAATACAGAGGAAAGGCATTATCAGAAAAAGCACTCTGATAATAAGAAAAGTGGAGAAGAACTCATGTGGTTACACACTGTGGAGAAAAGATGGAGAACATATATTTTAAAATAGCTTGTCACTTCTGATGTTACAAATAAAGTTTACTATCCATTACAAACATACGATTTTTCTTTTTTTGTAACTTACTTCATCAGTTGTTTCATCTACTAAAGAAATCTGAGTAGGAGTTTCAACTTCCAGTGCAACCTGTAACAGTGAATAAATGCATCACAGGATTTAATGAACATCGTGCTTCACATTTGAATAAAATTTCATTATGTAAACACCTAAGTAGCCAATATCTAAATAGTAAAATTAAGCTGACTTCCTGTAGAAAGTCATACATTTCTGTTTCCAGTGGATAAAAAGGTTCATTTCTAAAAATGGAACACAGATACCTCAATCACTGTGTGCACACTTAAAAAAGTATGTTGGACTCTCCACAGTAAGCAGCCACACTTCTCTGGTGGGATCACGTGCCTTGTTTTTAAATAACTGTAATGCTCAGCTCCCCAGTCCCAGAGCACACCAGTGATCTTCCAAGGTTAGGTCTCTGTGCTGCAGCACAACTTCTCCTCACTGTTCCCTATTACCAGAAGCAGAGTTCACCAACTGCACGCAGCAAGCCTTCCTGTGCTTCTATAGCGGAGATTAATTTACAGATGGCAATTAATCTCCCTATTTTGGCATGCCCTATCTTAACTCAGAGTCCTCCAACATACGTGCTCTGTGCCTCTCCCATCATATTTGTATACAGCTGTTTTGCCAAGAAAAAGCCAAAGTGAAAGACTCCTGTCATCACCCCTCTAGGTCTGACCTCCAGCTTCTCAGCTGAGCAGCCCGCTCAGAGCAGTTTTACTGGGTTTTACTGCATGACTGGATTCACAGAACACCCCAGCCCAAATTTCTAGGCAGTTCCAAGTGATCCATCCGGCAGGTACGCACAAAAGCTGAGAACGTACGGCTTCTCCACCACAAACAAAAATGCTCATCAATCAGACAACTGTCAGACTCCCAGACTGCTCCAAAACACAGATATACATGTCAAAAAATATTTTATACTAAGAATTCAAACCATTTGGAATTTAAAAATTAAAAAAGAAAACTTACTATGTGATTCTCCCAAAACTCATATTTTGAGTTAGTCAGTAGCAATTCCTTAGTTACTGGAGAGCAATATAACTTAACTTTCAAGCTGTAAGGAGAAGGAAAAAAAAAAAAAAAAAAAAGATGAGTGCTTTTGTTTGTGTTCTTTTTAAGCAGAGGCAAGGAGCAATCTAAAGATGCATCAGTAGCCAGCACCAAGCACACCAAAACACACACACAGGCCCCCCCTCACCCAAAAAAGACCCACAGAACAGCAAGCCAGCAGTAGCTGTGCTGCACCAACCTGAAGTGGGATCAGGAGGAGCTGCTGCACCTTTGCAGAGCAGGCTTTTCTTCAATGCAGCAGACCCAAAATCTTACCTACGTGTGTCTGTGCACGTGTGTTTTTAAGCAGGTATGAATAAAGCGTGTTGTAGGCGGTCACACGTATGGATATCACTGCTTGTTTGCACACACACCAAGGTCTGCTCCAGATGTATATGCTTGCCCTGGAATGCACTGGAACAGGTTACCCAAGGAGGCTGTGGATGCCCCATCCCTGCAGGCATTCAAGGCCAGGCTGGATGTGGATCTGGCAGCCTGGTCTGGTGGTTGGTGACCCTGCACACAGCAGGGGGTTGAAACCAGATGATCACTGTGCCATTCTATGACTCTATGATTAGGCACCTGGGACAGTTTGCAGCCAGCAGAATGGAAACAGAATGGATCCTACAAAGCTCTGGCTTTTGCACAGCACACAAAGAGAGCTGGTGATCAAAGCGATTCTTTGCTTGTATTTGAGGAGATGCAACATGCGCTCTAATAGCTGAGCACCCCGGGCACTGAGACTCCGTTATCTCCGCGTTCAGCTGCTGGGCTGCTTTCACTGCTGCGCTGCTGCTCCATACTAGCTCTCTCCCATACAATTCAATACCTGCTCTGCAGCCTCCTCCTCAGGGCGGGCGCCCTCAGCCCCTTCATGTGATCTGAGGAGAAACGGCACGGTGGTCAGGGCGGGAATGGCCGCAGGGTGGGGGAGATACCCTAGAGACGGGCGGGAAGGAGGGGCGGCTCACCCTTGTGGCAGTGCGACAGGAAGTAGGCGCGCGCGCGCAGGTTGTCGTGGTCGAAGCGGTCGATGGACAGCTGAGGGTATTCGCGCAGCCGGCCCCCGAACCGGCTCATGGCGGCCGCTTCCGCCTCGTTGCGTCCGCACCGCCTCGGCCAATCGGGAGGAGAGCTCTCCTCCTGCCAGCCAATCAGAAGCACGCGGAGGGAGAGGCGGGAGCAAGGGCTTAAAAGAGCAACGGCGGGAGGCGGTTGCTTAGAAACGGCGCGGCGCGGCGGCCATTGGTGCTGTGAGGAGGCGCCGCCATTCCCGTCCCGTCCCGTCCCGTCCCGTCCCGTCCCGTCCCGTCCCGTCCCGTCCCGAGGTCTCTGAGGACAGGGGCGTGGATGTGCGAGCGGGCTGTGGGGTGGTGGTAGGACTGAGCGTCATGGTGATGACACGGGGGTGAAGTCGTTCGTGGTGGTGGTGGCGGTAGAGGGGCTGGTGTTGGTGTGGTGGCTGTGGGGTTGTTTTGGTGGTGCTGTGTGGGGACCTTCCTTAGGTGGGATGCGGCAGGAATTGCGTCGGTTGGGGCTTGGCTGCCTTTAGGCCTCGGGCTTCAGAGCAGGGTTTGGATCTCATGGTTGGGTGGTGGGAGCCTTGCTCTGCCTTCATGCTGAGCTCTGCCTTAGGAGCTGTGGATGCAAGGTATATTCTGAGCAGTTTGTCTCTACTGTTGGTGGTGGTGACTGTTTAAGTGCAATCTTCTGTTGTACAAGTTCTGTTCTTTTCCATTGTGAATTTTAAGGAAACAGAAGGAAGAAACTTGGGGAAAGAAGCGGCATTGAGGAGTAACTGATTTAATGAGAGGCAAATACACAGCTTCAGTCACTTGAAAGAAGTACATCGTCAGTTACTTCTCGTTTCTCCACTTTTGGTAGTGCTTAATATTGTTAAGCCAGGCACTAATGACTTCAAATCAGGGAGTTCTGTTCCAGTGCCTCAGAAGCAGCCTGCTATGTTTCATTTTCCAGTAGGTAGCTGGTATGAGAGTAACATTCCAGTTAGTGTGCCCATTCTCACATGTATATGGCCTGAAAGCGTGCACAGACTGAAAATAGTGCATTTACTGGCACCCATGTAAATATAAACAGCACTTATATAAATGTGAATTATGCAGGCCATTGGTCAGATTTTCCCTCTTCAGCTGATCAGGACTGAGGTTCACTTATGAAGTGTCCACACTTTGTTATAAATATGCATGCATTCACAAATCTTTCAAATATTAGCTTTTTACACTGGTATCTGTCTCGTCTGACAATTTCCCATATGTCCAATAGTTCTTTCATGTTCTGGATGAGAAAGAAAAGAAAAAGAAGAAAAAACTCTGCAAATGATTAAAAAACAAAACAAAAAAAACTTTACTATGCAGGTGACAGAGCGCTGGCACAGCTTGTCTGGAGAATTTATGGATTCTCTTTCCTAGGAGATCTTTAGAAGCTGCTTGGATGTGATTTGGGGCACCCTGCTCTGGGTGTCCCTGCCTGAGTGGGGGCTGGACCAGATAGACCCAGAGGTCACTGCCAACCTCATCCATTCTTGGATTTAGTTCAGTCAGGGCAGTATCAGGCCAGGGCCTAGATGCCTGCCTGAGTACCTTGGAAAATTCAAAGGTTCTCATGTGAAGTCTGTTGAAATCATTGGACACATCTCAGCAACTTCTAGGGCCCTAGATTGGCCCTGTGAGTGCTGACTTATGAAAGCATTAAGGAAATAACACAAACAGGCCCAGGCTGGTTTGGATACCATTGAAATTAAGCTGTCATTGACCCCAAAAAAAAAAAAAAAAAAAAAAAAAAAAAAAAACCAACAACCTCAAAGCTGAAACAGAGTTATGTGGAATCTCGCCATTTCCTCTGAATTAAGAGTAGGCAAACGTTGTTTTAGCAAAGTTCACTTCACTGTTCAATTACACTCTCTGCATAAAAAGCACTAGTATTTTGCTTAACACTGTCCTGCATTCTTTCACTTACCTACAGCTGTCTGCTGTCTTTTGTTTTTTTTCCCTGAACTGTGGACTGTCTGGAGTGTGGCTCATCTTGTGCTCTTGTACAATGAGACCAGCTCTGTGCTTGGAACTCAGAGGCACCACAGTAGGCAAAGAGTGCCGTTTCTAAAAGGTTGAAATATCAGCCTAAAAATACCAGGATTTATTTATATTTTTGATTACTGAAGTCACCAAGCTGACACTTTATGTGATGCTTGCATGTGTTTTGAGCTGGAAGACCTGTGGGAAGCAATCCAAAATAATGGTGAGTCAGGAAATGCCAAGTGCGTCGAGATGTCTTGAAGAACCGCATTCATCAGATGAAGTCAGCACATCCTCCAAAGAAGTACTTAAGCCCAGTAACATGTAAGTTATCATAAGATGCTTAATATTATTATTAATTTAAGAGCTAATGCCATTACTTACGGTATGGTCTTTCTCATGTCCCAGATTGACAGTGGCTCTCTAACATAAACAGCACATGCAAAATTCTGTAATGCTACAAAAGGGCCCTTTGCAGCAAGAGATCAAAGAATTATCTTGAGAGCAATACTATGCTACGGACTTACAATAAGGATATATGCTGAGCATCTAATTTGTATCTGACACCTCGTAAGTGGGTGTGAAAATTACTTTTTTTCTTTCATTATTATTACTGAATGGCTGCCTTCAATTACGAAACACCAGTAAGAGCTGCAGAGCCCTTAGTGCTTAATGTTTGGAGTGCTGAGCTGCAAGAAATAGATCAGTGTTGCTAGAAGAGAGACTTTGTGCATATTTTTTTATTGATCTTTAATGAAGCATATGCAGTCAGGGATGAAAGGCCCTTTCTTCTTTCCCAATGGCTCATATGTTATATGACAAAGATGCAGATTTCCACATTATGGTAGCAATTCTGCAGTTTTTTCTCTACTGCTCTTTTTAACTGGCTAATTTGATAAGCCACCAGCTTTCAACTTTTGGAACTCTCAGTTGACATTGGAACTTGTTAAGTAAGGAAATTCTACCTTCTTCGCAAAAGGGTTTTGTGTGGGAGAGAGTCGGAAGCATCAGTAAGATTTTGGTTGGGCAAAGTCATTTTGGTTTGGTCAGGGCAAGCACTGACTAAGATGAATGTTGGTGGATTTTGTGCTTTTTTCTTACTCCATCCAACTGATTTCTTAGAACCAGTTCTTTGGCATTTTCACTGTGGCCATATGACTGGCAGTGCATTCCTTCCTTCTGTTCCTCACCTGTCCTGAATGTTTCATTTTGTGCTTGCCATTTTGGTGTTCCTTCAGTAGGAGGAAAGAAAAACCTGAAAAATTACCTGTCTCAAAGGAGCAGTGACTGTGGAGATGTGAAATTTGAAACAATTAATGGGTTTTCTTTGTTATTTTATGCATCTCTGTGCACCAGTAAATTTTAGGCAGCGCTCTTAACTCAGGGTGGCAAAAATATCATAACAGTTTCCTAGTTAGAGAAGTATGGGTGTCATGGGTTTGAGATTGACTAGTGCATTTCTGATTACATTTCTGATTGTTTATAATCATTATTTGCCCAAGAAGGCTGTGGACGCTCCATCCCTGCAGGCATCCAAGGCCAGGCTGGATGTGGCTCTGGGCAGCCTGGTCTGGTGAATGGTGACCCTGCACACAGCAGGGGGTTGAAACCAGATGATCATTGTGGTCCTTTTCATCCCAGGCCATGTTTGTTTTTTTTTTTCGTGTGTGTTTTTTTTAACCTCAGACTTGGAGAGGAGGACATTGCAATGTTTGTACTTTATTGTTTCAATTTTGTTCTACCCATCCCTGTTTCATCCTAACAAGATCACTTGCTTTTGTCTTCTCTACTTCCCTTTCAAAAATCTAATTTCAGGAAAATGTCAGAAGTTTCTGCAGCCATGTCTAAAGCTGACATCAAGCCAAAATCTATCTGTCATGCCAAACAATGGTCAGATGAGATAGAGAACTTATACAGGTTCCAGCAAGCTGGGTACAGAGATGAAGTTGAATACAAACAAGTGAAACAAGTTGATACGGTAAGATTTAAAACTCTGCAGGAGTTCTTACACTGAATTCCTCTCTGATGTTAAATTATTAAATAAAACTGAATGTGCCTCTTGTTTCCTGTAGGCTAGGTTCTGATACAGTTTTTTCTCCCAGATCTGACTTGAATTCTCGTGCAGTTGTTAGCTGTGCAGAATAATTTACTTTACAGAAGGAAAATAGAAACACAAGCCAGCCTGGTTTTGTTCCCCAGGTCTTACATGTTTACAAATATCACCTAGATTTCTTTGAAGAGATGTAGCTGTTGTCTGAAAGACTAATTCAGTTTTGAGGGAAGGAATATATGAAAGGTAATTCTCTGCAAAGTCTCCCCACATCTCTGCCAATGGCCCTGAGAGGAAACGCATTCATTGTCCAGGAGCTCAGTCCTGTGCTATTGCATAGCAGCATAATCAAATGTCATGCACACTCCAAATTTGGTTTCTGTTGAATCTGACCAAAGTAGAAATATCTGAAGGCAGTTGTGTTGCAGGCATTTGTCAACAGAGCACATCTAGGACTTGGTCTTCTGCTCATTGCAGTTGATGGCAAAACTCCCTAGCACATCAGATGAGATATTCAGTGGTTTCCTGAGATTCAAAAGAGCAAATAATGTGTTACCTGCATTGAATTCCTGTAATTGGTCTTCCAAAGCAACATATATAATATGAAACATACAATTGTAAAAGATCTTAACCTCCTGTGTACGTAAATGCTGCAATTAGTGTGGTAGGATGAATCCATTCAAGATTTATGGCAGTGTGTAACCACACGCAATTAAATCCTCATAAAAGCTGAAGAGCATCACTTATGCTGATTTAAAATGTGTGTTCTGTTGAAGCTTGCCAGGATCTGGTGGTTCTTTTCCAGCTTACACATTTTGAAATGTTGTATTTACTCCATATTATGCTTCCTGACTGCAGTTATGATTAATGATGCAATTACAATGTAGTTGTAACAAATGTTAAAGCTCTTATCTTCAGGCAGAGGATGCACATAATTCAACTGTATGCCAAAGTAATGCAGAATTAAGCTACTGCTTCTGGAACTCTCCATTCAGAGAATGCTGTACTTTAATATCCTATTCTCAGCTCTGCCTGGAAGAGATGGGATTCTTATTACTTGATTTTTAAGGATTGGGCTGATCAGAAGTAATCACAGTTGTTCAAACTGGAGGTAGCTGTCAAAACCATGAAGCTCTTAAACTAATGGCACGAGCACTTGTATGTTCAGAGCTTCACAAAATGAATAATGAACAGCACCATGATGGTGCTGGCGTCCTGCAGGACTGATCCTGCTTATTCCGAGACTTCTCTGATCAAAAAATTATTTATATTAGATCAGAAAACTGTTTCCTAACATCTGGTTCTCAATCTTTTTTTAATACTTAAGGAAACTAATGCAAAGTCTGTTCAGAAACACTTGTTTTCCCATAGAACTGTACCCTATATTCTCTACAACATGGGGCACAAGCATCACTCAGTGGAAACTTGTTCCAGTGAATGAATATCCTCTTATTTTCTTTGTAGGTAGAGTGTTGGCCAGAAACTGGATTTGTGAAGAAGCTTCAGAGAAAGGACAACACCTTCTATTATTACAATAAGCAAAGAGAATGTGAAGACAAAGATGTTCATAAAGTGAAAGTTTATGTATACTAATTTTGCTACTTTCCAAAGTTTGTACATTTTAAAATAAATCTTTTTGTTATGATTTGTAAGAGAATGAGATTTGTATAACCCAGCATTCAAAGCATAAATGTCATTCTCGGATAGAATGGGGAATACAGAACGTGTTCCAAATAATTTGATATCAAAAAGACAAAAAGCTGCAAAGGGACTTTGCATATTTGGTTTGACTGTGCAAAGTCCATTGTAAGTAGGCTCATTAATCTGTACTCTGAACAACATAATCTTGTCGATATCAGCTAATGTCAGCTGCAGTCTCTTGGTGTAACTGAGGGCTGTGAGGCTCCCAGTAAGTCCAAAAGGCAAATTGCAGTAATTGTAGTGCTGTGGAGAGGAGCTGCAGCAACGAGCAGAACTCTTTATTGTTTTAGTCTACTGTTTATTTAGTTACTGTTGTGTCAGATCTGTTCCCCAGTATGTTTGCTTAGCGTTTCCCTTTCTGCCCCTAGCAGCCCAATTTAGGAGTCCTCCCTCAAACGGCTCTACTCAAATAAACTTTCTCACGCTCTGTGTTTATCACTGAGACTTACCAAGTCTGTTTCTTTTGATTGTTTCCTCATTTGGAAGTTCTTGATCAGATAACCCTGCTGGAATAAACATTCTCACTTGTTAATGAGGGCAACCCACCAAGTTTGTTTCTGGCCACTGTCTTAACACCAATGGGTCAGGGTTTCTGTCTGTAAGTGCTTGTTCTTTTTGTTTGCCTCATCATCCCAATGTCTTGAGGCCTTTACCCAATTGTACATCAAATAAACTGTTTCACACACCACATATCCCAACAGCATTCATTGATTTGGAAGGTTATGCTGTTTCATGGAAGAAAGAAAAAAAAAGAATTGTGGATTTACATACAGTGGGATCAGGGAGTACAAAACTGCAGAGAGCTTGGGAAACATCTCAAGTAATATTTAAGTTAGGTAACCTACTTAAATGAAAAGGGGGGTTTCTGGGCAGAATTCGTCTTGCTTACCTTCAGATATCACCTTGTCAGTATCTACAGCTTCTCATTTTACAGCCTTTGTTCTGAACAGAGGACAGCACAACGCAATTCTTGTCAATGTTGGTATGCAGCACCAGCCTGCTGCTCTGCCATCAGCTGTGCAGAAGCTGCCCACAAGTGTTCCTACACTGGGACAGCTGGTAAATGTGAGGTACCTCATAGTTACCTTCACTTGAAGTATAATGCTTGAATCCACCCAAACTGTGGGTAAGTGACCTGCTGAAGCTGACTCATCTGAACCAGTGCTGTGTTCATGGTAGTTACAAATAATGTTATCAATTCCTCCTGTCTCTAGACTAAAGCTCAGGATGATCATCTCGACCAAGTTTTAGGCATGGATGTAGATGCTGGCAGGAGGACATTATGTGTGGCAGTGTACATTTTAATATCTAAGGGTTATTCTTCACTTGAAAGTAAGGCATAGGCCAGCTCAACATGCAAAGTAAAGGGTCACAGTAAGCAGCATAGATACAACGTTCAAAAGATCTTGTCAACAGGTGGCAGTGTTCCAGTCACCTTATTGAGATGGCTTGGAGATTTTTAGCCTAGATTTGTATGGACTGTGTTAGAGAAACAACTGGAAGGGACTCAGAAGCAGCTGTGAAGCTTTTTGCTCCAGGAAGGTCATTGTGTTGTACAAACAGAGTTCTGCAGTGACAGCCACAAAGCATTACTACGGTAAATTTTAGTTCTCTTCCATTCTCCTTTTTCCTTTTGTTTGCTTTGTGCATACTTTGTAAGAGAGGCCTTTTTTTGTGCTTTGCAAACCAACAGCAGGAACAGAACAATTACAATCCATCCATTTTTTCACTTTACGACTGAGGCTCTCCCTTTTTCCACAGAATCCAAAACAAGAAATCTTCCAGTGGAGATGGAAAGAGACATTTCCAGGTAGACATTTACAGGTAGATAAACTTACCAGCAGAAATGACTGAATCATTGCCATCAGCATGCACACAGTAAGTGAGAATTAATTTGGTGCTATCAATCTATAATAAAGACAGAGTTGGGTATTGAAGCAGAATTAAAACAGCAGGAAAGTTTTTAAAGCTTAATTATTATTGTTTTTTTTAAATAAAAGCCTTTTTAAATTGAAACAAATGTAAAAGGTTATTCTGTGTTTCCCTCGTTTTATCTGCTGGCACCAAATGTTTTTGCAGTGCAGCAAATTTTTTCTGCATTATGCTTTAAAACAGTGAGCACGCATTTCATACAGCCCACGAGGGCTGCTTTTCGGCTCAGACAAGTAGGACAGCAATTCACACATTCCACTTTGGAAATGCTTTTTTTTTTTTGTATGAGTTGGCTCTCATGCTTAAAGAGAGCGAGCAGCCTAGATTTCATGACTAATATTTTTTCTGTTCTGTGTGTGTTGAATCTCACTGTCATATTTAAAAGATTAACGGGGTGAAAGGGAAAGAAAAGCCCTGTCATCAGTGCAATTTTTTGGCATAGCTTCAATCAGCCCCGATGCCACATTTGAAAGTTCACTCACTCCATTACCAAAAAAGCAGGTCTGGTACTGATGGTGACAGCTTCAGCTAGACTTGTCCTTTGGCATCCAGCTTGTATTTGTATTGCAGTACAATTTGTGCCAAATTTAAGGTTATTGAAACCATTTTGAAGACCTCAGCTGTGTAACACCCTAGCTGTGAAGCCAAACAGTTTCTTTTCTGCTGAAAGAGAAACAGATATTGGGGCTCTTGCCTGAATTCAGCTTTGTCTGTGATCACAAGATGACATTAATCTAGTGTAAGGCTGCTTGCTTGAGCTGTTTGTCCTGAAGTGGATTTGGTATTCAGCTCTGCTTACTGAGGAGGACACAAGGAGCAGCATAACCCAGGTGCAAGGCTGCCTGTCAGCAAGCCCGACCAGCTGCCCAAAGTCCGAGGTACTCAGGCTCATTCTAATTCACTTTGTGGCTGTGTAGCAGACAAAGATGGATGCTCCCTGTGTTTGCTGAAGCTCAGAAGAGGTGCTAAAACAAACCTTTCCAACACCTACTTTTCAGGCTTTTTGTTTGACAGTTTCAGATGAAATGGCCAGGGTGCAAGCCCTCAGGTCACTCTGAGGAAATAAAGCTGTGTTTTTGTATTTTAGGCTGTTTTTCAACGTTTTCAGCCTTTCCTTGAATTCATTCTGCAGCCTTATTGTCTGAAAGTGATTCTACAGCTGATTGCCTTACAGTCACAGCAGCTCGGCTTCCACTACCAGTGGAAGCATTTCACTGTTCACTTCAGTGGACAGTTCCAGTTCTGAAGGCTTTCGAACCTCAACCTTTTCCACTCATAAACATCATTTCCTACCTTCAAGTTGTTGGAAATAGCTTCAAACTTTGTTAAAGAGAACTTTAACTCAGCAGCTGCTGATGTCACTGTGCCTCATGTTGAAAAAAGTGAAGCCTGCCTGGAGGCAGTTTGAATGGAACTGCTGTATTTTCTTTGCAGGTTCTCTCATATTTCCCGGGTTCCACAGCACTCTTCCATACGCTGCAGCTATTTGTGTTAGGTGCTGCCAGATCATAGGTCGTTTTGTGAACTCAACCATGGAATCATAGAATGTGTCGAGTTGGAAGGGACACACCAAAGGTCATTGAGTCCAATTCCCAGCTCCACACAGGACCATCCAACATTCAAACCCTATGTCTGAGAACATTTGTCCAAACACCCCCTGAACTCAGGCAGGTCGGGGCTGTGCCCACTGCCTTGGGCAGCCTGTTCCATGCCCACTGACCTCAAGTGAAGAAACTCCCTCAAATATCATAAAATAACCCATAATATTCATGCTAATCATGTTAACAGTTATAAACAAAGGCTGGATTAATTCTTTTCATTGCAACCATTTTCAACCAAATACACCACAAATGCTTTCATTGCAAAGCATTTTCAACCACATCAACCAGGAATTCTGGCTTTTGTACTTATCTCTGTTATCACTTGCCTGTTAATATTTGTGTGCATGCTTAGTTTAGCATTATCCTGATACTTGTTATTTCCGTGATTCTGAATTGCCCTTAACCAACATCCCATTGGCCCAGGGCATGGAGACAAAAGGAAAGGAATGTCTAAAAAGAAGAGGTCAAGGGAGGGAAGGATAAGCGTGTGTAGGGAGTCAGCCACAAGATGCACAGAGTTTTGGTGAGGCCTTGGCACAGGCTGCCCAGTGAGGTGTGGATGCCCCATCCCTGGAGGTGCAAAAGGCCAGGGCCCCCCTTGGGCAGCCTGATCTGGTGGGGAGCAACCAGCCCACAGCAGGGGATTGGAGTAGGATCTGCTTTAAGCCCCCTCCCAATCCAAGTCATTCTGTATCTCTGTGATTCTATGATCTGGTACCCACACAAACCTCCTCCCACACTGGCAGTAGTTCCACTCTGGCTGGCTGGGAGGCGGTCCCGGCTCCTTGCTGCAGATGTTAGTCAGGAGCCTTGGCAGGAACACCCAAACGCCTCGTCCAAAGGCACAGCGCCCTGCCTGGGCTGCCCTGTTGGCAGGGACAGGGCATCGCGTGCGGCTGCTTCTTTGGGTTTGCTCAGTGTGCTCAGGAGGTGTCAGATCGCTAAGGAACATCGTTACACCTGCAATACAGAGACAGATTTGTTTAAAAGTCGCTGGATTCATATTTTGTCAGGGCAGAGCACTATTTCAATAGAGAAGGGAGATTTATGTATCTGGAAGATGAGTTCAGATACAGGATCAGAGAATCATTAAGGTTGGAAAAGACCACTAAAATCATGCAGCCCAACCATCAGCCCACCCCCACCGTGCCCACTGACCTCATGTGGCCTCAGTGCCACATCTGCACGTTTCTTGAACACCTCCAAGGATGGTGATTCCACCACCTCCCTGTGCAGCCTGTGCCAATGCCTCACCGCTCTTCCTAAGAAGAAATTCTTCCTCATATCCAACCTGAACCTCCCCTGGCACAACCTGAGGCCATTCCCTCTCATCCTATGGCTGTTACCTGTGGAAGCAGCTGGTGTGGGCTGGAGCACCTTCCCCTGCTCTTCACAGGGAAGCTCACAGCCATGCTTCTGCTCATAGCCTGCCAGGAAAATGAAGAAAGGGAAGAGCTGGATGCTGCTGCATTGCTTGTGCATGTATCGCATGCAAAAGAGGGAAAATTTCATTATTCTTATTTACATTTAATGAAGTATTTCTCTGAAGATATTCCTCCTCCCCCAAAAATAAAGTGATTTCTGTCGATCTGCCTTCAAATGCTGTGACTTTCAGTTGAGATTTCATGATGGGAAGAAGCAGATGGCAAAGCCAGCGAGGGATGCCATGGGATGGGGCTGCGTGCTGGATCTGTGAGCCCATGTCTCCCTCTGCTGACTGCCTCCTGGCTCCCGCAGCTCCTTCCTTTATCGTAGAGGATAAAAAGGCGGTGATTTTTGTTACTGTTTTTTCTGTTGCTGATGGATGAACGCCCTCCCCACATCCCAGCTGGTGACCACAGCACATGTGCAGAAAGGAGCTCCTCACATCAGCCCACAGCACCGGGTGCCAGTGTGTGTCACCTTAGCAATGCTGAGCTCACTTTGGGTCTCAGTGCACTGGATCTTTCCATTCACCATGAAACAATGCATGAATCCTCAGCTACAGGAAGATGTCCGCTTACAGTAAGGGACTCAAGGCAAGCTGCTATAAGCCAGGGGAAGCAAGAAAGAACCCTTTGCTGGGTTATTGCATTTAAGATGGATTATGCTAGAAATGCCCATGCAGAATTTGGAATTTGTTTTCTTTTTCAGTCTGAAGGTGTCTGTGATTCCTCT